ATATATATATATATATTTTATGAGACTATTCTGTAGTGGTTAATACAGACTCTTAAGCCAGACTGCCTGAGTTCAAATCCTTCCTCTTCCACTTACCAGCAGAATGCCCTAAGCAAGTTATCTTTTTAGTCCCCTTTCCTCATTTGGTTGGAGTGAGTCTGAAATAAGTCAGGTTGTATAAAAACACCTGGAACAGTGCTTTGCATGCAAGTGCCTAATGAATGTCAGCTATTATTGTAATGGGTATTAAAGTCCTTTGTCCAAATGCTGTTAATATTATTGCCCAATGAATATTTGGGCACAGGCTGGGAAAATTCAATTGAATACAGCTCTGGCTTGGAGGCCAGAGTTTCTTATGAAGACAGCAGAAAAAAGCAAAACCTTAACCTCTCTGAGCCTCAGTGTCTTTGTCTGTATGATGGCAACAACAACAACAATTTTACCTCTGCCTACTTCATAGGGTAGCTCAAGTGCTTGGACAATGGTAAGCACCTAAAAAAAGTATTTGTTGAATGAATGAATGCACGGACGATGTTGGGCAGCAGTGGCAAGCAGCAGGGGTCTGCCCTGAGCAACATAACTGCTGACCAGCTGGTTTTGAGACCCGGTACAATAGAGACCCACATAAAGCAGTGGGTGAGTACTGAGTCAAATGGGCAGACTGGGTGGTGTGCTGGTCAGCTTCACATTTGGATAACAGGCATTCTTTTTTTTTTTTCTTCTTGATAACAGGCATTCTTATATTTGCCTGGTGAGAGTATAAATGTATAAATGTATTAATATAAATCAGCCTCTTTGGAAAATCATATAGTGCTATCAAAGTTTTAAAAGAGGAAACAAATTCACAAATTGACCTAGTAATTCCATTTATAGGAAATCATCCCCCAGATATCTTGGCCCAAGTGCACCAAGATTTATATAGGTAGTGTGTTCATTGCAACTCTTTGCAATAGTGAAAAACTGGAAATAACCCAAATGCTCCACAGTATGGTAGGTAAATAAATTGTGGTACATCTATGTTATGAACTATGTGGCTACGAAAAAGAATGAGGTAAATATGTACATTATTAATACGGAGAGGTCTTTAGATGTATGGTTAAATAAACAAACAGAAAACTCAAGTTGACAAAGCTGTGCATTTAATATAATAATATTTGTGGGGAAAAAAGCCGTATCTGTATATCTGCATTGGACATCTGAAAGGCTACACGCCAGAGTTAAGGTGGTTATCCCTGCAGAAAAAAAAAAAAAAAACTTTAAATTAAAATTTTATTTTGAGAAAATAAATAACTCCTGTTTAAAGTCCAGAGGCCCCTATTTGTAGTCTGGGCAATGACACTCTATGACTCAAGGAAACCCTATTCACTTTTTTTGAGCGGAAGCTTCCTCTTGTGTAGACTAACAATGGTAACATTTATGTTTTAGTATTGTGATGGGTGAGATGAAATAGTAGATATGAAAACCCCTACTCAGAGCAGGGACAGATCCCTATAGCAATCACGGAGGGCAACGTGAGGAGGAGGCATGAGCCTAGACCTTGAACGGTTTGTCAAGGTCTGGATTTGGTTTGATTCCTGGCTGTCTTTTCCTAACAGTCAACAGGCATTTATTTAACAAGGGTCTGCTACAAAACTTGATGTGGGCTTTTTAACCACTTACCTGCCTTGAGAAGCAAAGGGGAACCTTGGCGCGTGCGCAGTGAGAGCGTCTTTGCCGGGCTCCGCCCTTGTACTACAACTCCCAGCAGGCTCCGCACACGCCTCAGGCGCGTCGCTGACTGTTGACGTAACGCCGTAGCGCGGGGAATTTCGAGTAGCGGTGGAGCGCGGGAGGCCAGTGGGTGCTGGAACCCCCCCCAGCCTGCCTAGGAGAAACTATGGACTCCCTAGTCGAGCCTCGGTGGCCTCCAGGCCTGGAAGTCATGAAGGTGAGTGCTCTGGGGAGGTGGGAGTACCCGGGTGTCCGCGGGAGGCCAGTCCCGCTGTGAGAAGGAGAAAGGAGGAGGCGCAAGGTGCGAGCTGGGCCAGGGTACCCGGCTCTGCTCTGCCACTTAGCGACTTGGTAGATTTGGGCCTCAGTTTCCTCCTGCCGAGAAGTGACAGGGTCAGGCCTCGGTCCCTTGTGGTGAGCTTAGGTTGGCCGTCTTATGGAACCGGGTATTAAGCGGTTCAGCCACAGCAATAACAATGACTTCGAGAAAAATAGTCACTCTAAACAGTGAAAACGACAGTGACAACTAACCCTTTCTGAGGGCCTAATATTTATCAAGCATATGTAAACTCTCGCAGTACATTATTTGACAATTTCCCATTTCCTTTACATTCTTTCATTTCTTATAACTACCTAGAGCTGGTTGAATTCTCCTGACGTGTCCTAACTCCTAACAGTTTGTATCTCTTTTAAACAAGGAGATCAGGGCTCAGGCTCAGCACTAGCCTTTCATTTCATTGTATTATTTCACTTAAATAACATGGTTGTTTTTGGCAAGGCATTCCAGTTCCATTTACAGTAGCAGTGAGCCCTGTGTGCTTGATCAAGAAGAGCAAACACATTTTGCTGTGCTAGCTAAGAATCAATTACTTGGTTTTTCTTCTTGCTCTGTAATTACGTATTTCTGTGACTGTGTGCAAGATCACTTTCTAGTTCTATTCCTCAGTGTGGTAAATTTGGGGATTATGGTATCTGTCCCCGCTGACTCACTCATAAGACTGACTTTGAGGATTAAGTGAAGGGACTTGGGGGAGGTTAAAGTAAGTATAAGGCCTTTCTTCTTGCCATCACCAGTGTCATCTACAGTGCTTGGGGACTTGAGATAGCCCCATCGTGAAAAGCTGACATTGGGGAAGGATCTAGGAAAGATGTAGTTTTGGAGTTGTGGTGGCCATGGTATCAAGGTACTTTGGGGGAGAACATAGATTTGAGTTCCAGTGGTCTTGAGTTAAATCTGGTCTCTGGCTCTTATTTAACTGTGTTATCTTGGGTTGGTTACTTAACCTCTCTGAGCCTGAATTTCCTCAATGTAAATTGGAGACAAAAATAAACAGTTTATAGTGTTGGTTAAATGAGTTGATCTGTGTGGATAGGGATTCTAGCTGGCTTATTCACTGTGCTTAACACAATGTCTGGCACATAGTGCATGCTTAAAGATTATTTGCTAATTGGTTGAAGGTTCTAAGTATCTGGAAGGAGTAAGCATTCAGTTAATATGTCTTTATTATAATCATTAGCACTTAACATGTGTTGTTTCTTCCCCCCTTTCTATTTGTTATTTTATTTGTTATTTTGAAGATTGAATTGGATAAAGGAAGTAAAAGCTTTGTAGTTTGTAAAGGTTCTTGCTTTGTAGATTTAAGCATATTTTACCACAACTTCCAGAGTTCTTTAGAGGCAGGTTCCATGTCTTCTACGGATTTGATGTCTCACTACAGCACCTGAGAGTGTTCAGTGATGGAGTTGATTGAGCCCATATTAGAATCATGGTGGAAAGCCAGCCCCCTCCAGTATTTTCTTTTCTATTTTTTTAATTAGCTCTTTATTTTATTTTAATTGTTTGTACCTATTACTACTCTTTATTTTGCCCAATCCCCGCCCCCCCGCCCCAGCAACCACCAGTTCTTTGTATTTAAAAGTCTGTTTTTTGTTTGCTCATTTGCTTTGTTTTTTGGATTCCACATAAAAGTGAAATCATATGGTATTTGTGTTTCTGTCAGACTTATTTCACTTAGCATACATAATACCCTCTAGGTCCATCCATGTTGACACAAATGGCAAGATGTTATTCTTTTTTAGGGCTGAGTACTATTACATTGTATATATATGCACCACATCTTCTCTCTGCATTCATCTATTCACTGATGCGGGTTGCTTCCATATCTTGGCTATTGTGAATAATGCTTAGGGGTAAACATAGGGGTGCATATGTCTTTTCAAATTAGTGTTTTCATTTTCTTTGGGTAAATACCTTGTAGTGGAATTACTGGATCACATAATATTTCTGTTTTTAGTTTTTTGAGGAAACTCCATAGTGTTTTCCATAGTGGTTGCACCAATTTACATTCCTACCGACAGTGCAGGAGGGCTCCCTTTCCTCCACATCCTCACCAACACCTGTTACTTCTTTTTTTGATACTATCCATTCTGACTGGTGTGAGGTGATATCTCAGGATGGTTTTGTTTTCCATTTCCCTGATGATTAGTGATGTTGAGCATCTTTTCATGTGTCTGTTGGCCATTTGTATGTCTTTTTTGTAAAAATGTCTATTCCGGTCCTCTGCCCATTTTTAATGGGATTACTTGGGGGTTTTTTGGTGTTGAGTTGTGTAAGTTCTTTCTATATTTTAGATATTGACCCTCATTGGATATATCATTTGCAAACATCTCCCATTCACTGGGTTGCCTTTTTGTTTTGTTGCTGGTTTCTTTTGCGTGCAAAGCCTTTTATTTTGTGTGGTCTCAACAGTTGATGTTTGCTTTTGTTTCCCTTGCCTGAGGAGACATAGCTATAAATATGTTGCTCAGGTGATGTCCAAGAGATTACGGCCTATTTTTCCTTTTAGTAGTTTTATGGTTTCAGGACTCACATTTAAGTCTTTAATCTATTTTGAATTTATTTTGTGTATGGTATAAGAAAGTGGTCTAGTTTCATTCTTTTGCAGTTTTCCCAACACCATTTGTTGAAAAGACTGTCCTTTCCCTTTTGTATATTCTTGCCTCCTTTGTTGTAGATTGACTGTATAGGTGTGGGTTTATTTGTGGGCTCTCTATCCTCTTCCATTGATCTATGTATTTTAATCCCTTTATAATGTATTTGTCAATTTCTCATCTAGTTTTTGCTTGAACTTTTTCCAGGGACAAGGAATTAGCTGCTCCTGGAAGTAGCTCTGTTTGAAATTCTTTCTTTCTTTTTTTTTTTTTTTAAGATTTTATTTATTTATTTGAGAGAGAGAATGAGATAGAGAGAGAGAGCATGAGAGGGGGGAGGGTCCGAGGGAGAAGCAGACTCACGGCTGAGCTGGGAGCCCGATGCGGGACTCGATCCCGGGACTCCAGGATCATGACCTGAGCCGAAGGCAGTCGCTCAACCAACTGAGCCACCCAGGCGCCCCTGAAATTCTTTCTTATACTAAATAGAAATCTGATTTCAATTCCATGGTTGCTAACCTAGGATCCATGGGAAGACTTTCGTATCCAGAATTATTATGAGTTTTGTTTGTGTAGGTTTTTCTGAGAAGAGAGTTCATAGTTTTTATTCATATGTATAAGGGGATCTGTGACCCAAAAAACTTAAGAACCTTTCCTCTCGTTATTAAGTCTTTTCACTCATTCCCTACTTTCCCCTTCCACTTTCCCCTCTTCTAAGTTGAAGAAGTCCTAGAGCATCCATTTAACTGCTCTCTGTTTAGTGGAGTGCATGTTATGCTCTTGAAATGGTATGACTAGAAGTTTGTATAAGAATATTATAGCTCATCTGATACAGTGTCACCTTCCACAAATCTTGCTCAGTATGTGTCAGAACCACTCCTCCAGAAGAGGATGGTATATGGAAGAAAGCACAATAGAGATGCCAGGACTCTGGCTTCTAGCCCCGCCTCTGCTCTTAATTGGTGTGCAACACAGTCCTCTAGCTTTTTGCATCCATGGTAGCTTACCATCCAAAATAATGGAAGATTTTGGCATTTTCATGTTTATTCCCCTGGTTTTATAGTAACAGGAATTTTTGGTTTTGACAGATTATAAATGGAGTATGTGTATATAGTAGAAAAAATTAAAATTCCGATTAAGATAAAGGAGAAAATGAAAGTTTCCCATCACCCTACCATCTGGAGGTAACCATGGTTTAATATTTTTGCTGTTTAATGTGCGTGTATGATGTGTATATGCATTTAAAATTTGGGATCACTTTGGAGTTGACTTCTTGGGTTTGATTTGACCACTTAATAAGCACTGTAGGCTTCATCTGTAAAACTGGAATAGATGCTATAGACTTCATAAGATTGTTAGGGAGATTAAACTGTATAATTCTATTGTAATGTATTGTAGATTTGTTCCATGATTTTTTTTGTTTCCATTAAAACATGAACATTTTCTCATGGCATTAATTCTTTGAAAGCGTGTTTTTTTTTTTTTTTTTAAGTGGCTACCTAATATTTCATCATATAGATTGTTAGTGACATTAGTCTTTGTATTTTTAAAATTTAGGTAATACACTCATGGTTTAAAAATGTGAAACAAAAAGTAAAAGTCTCCCTCCCAATCTGTCCTTTATCCAGTTTTTTTACTCCTGTTACTTCTTTATTGTGTAACTTTTCAGGATTTCTTTATATATATATACAAGGTAAAAATAGATTACATTTTTAGTCCGCCCTCTTTTTTTTTAACAAACAGTAGCATACCTTCTTTTTTAAAATTTCATTTTAAAGATCTTATTCATTTATTAGAGAGAGAGCGAGCGCATGTGTGGGGTGGAGGGGCAGAGGGAGAGGGAGAAGCAGGCTCCCCGCTGAGCAGAGAGCCCGACGAGGGGCTTGATCCCAGGATCCTGGGATCATGACCTGAGCTGAAGGCAGATGCTAAACTGACTGAGCCATCCAGGCGCCCCTACCTGACTTCTTTTTTGCACTTACTTTGGCAGTCTTTCCATGTTGGTACATGAGTGAGCTCCGTCTTTTTTTTTTTTCCTCTTAAAAACTGCTCAGTATTCTTATTGAGTGGAATAAATTTTAAATGATTTAGAAGACTTTGCGTTGTGAGAATAGATCCTTTCCTATTTGGATTGCATTCCAGGCTGACACACACAGATTGACCACGTCTTTACCTTCTGCCACCACTGGTTCCAGCTCTTTCTAGGGCTTCCTCAGTTGGCTCCACCATGTAGTAATTAACATGTGGGACCGTGCAGAAAGCACTGGACTGACTGCCAGCAGGGAGACAGGAAGTTTAATCCTGGCTTGATTCATGCCCAGTTATTTGTGTGTGCTTCCTCACTTGTGAAGTAAGGGTTTTAACTAGATACTTTCTAATGTTTGGCCTTAATAGTCTCTGATTTTGTTCTTAACCTGTGTGGTGAATGGTTATTGGTACCTTTTCACCCAACAGTGACTGTGGGCCAGGGAATGGGGTCTGAACAGGAAGAAGCTTGGAGTAAGCTGGAAACACATGGTTAATGGAACAGAAGTGGAGTAGCCCTTTTGTAAAGGGTTGACAATATGGACTGGGAATCTGTACATTGTCCACTTTATCTGTCGAAAGCTTTTTCGGTAACTTGACGATTGAATGTGTAAGTCACATGAGGAAGGTTTTTCTTGATTTGTCAAGATTCCTTGCAGTTTATGTGGAGTTAATTTTGAATTTGTATATTTGAGAGAAGAGTATTCTTAAATTGTTTTTTTTAGGGGAGGGAGAAAGAGTTCTGTGGCAGACATTCCAGTCTTGGTGTTTTTCTGATAGGTATATATGTATTTTTGCATTTCAGACAATAGATGATTTGCTACGGTGTGGAATTTGCTTTGAATATTTCAACATTGCAATGATGATTCCTCAGTGTTCACATAACTGTAAGTATGCATTGTCTATGTGAGTTAGTAAAAATGTGATTTTTACACAAGGTAGTATTAATTTAACACCTAGTGTAAGTTCACTTACTTATTTCTCACCTTTAGCTCCTCTGTCTTGAAGTTTTCAGACGATATTTTCTGCTGCCTTCCTCTTGGGTATATATTTACTTATTTTTTTTTTTTTTAAAGATTTTATTTGTTTATCTGAGAGAGAGAGAATGAGAGACAGAGAGCACGAGAGGGAGGAGGGTCAGAGGGAGAAGAAGACTCCCCGCTGAGCAGGGAGCCCAATATGGGACTCGATCCCAGGACTCCAGGATCATGACTTGAGCCGAAGGCAGTCGCTTAACCAACTGAGCCACCCAGGCACCCCGGGTATATATTTTTTTAAAGCAGAAGATTATTATATTTCAAAATGCAACTTCTGTACAACCAAAAAGTAAAACATCACTGTAAAATGTTGGTGAGAAAACATGGTATTTCCTTTGGCAAATGGTTGACATCCTTAGTCATAAATGATCTCTTAGAAACTGGTAACAAAGACACTAATATTCCAAGGGAAATGGAAAAAAAAAACCACAGAGGAAAGTGAAATAACAAATGAGTAGTAAGGTTTAAGGATATATGAAGATGTTTGAACTGAGCAATAACAAAAGAAAAGCAATTTCTTTGTAATGTCATATTGTCAAAGATTAAAACACTGACATCTAATGTTTGTACTGTTTTAGAAGAAGTCTCGTAGACAAACACTGGGGGATAAAATTGATGACAGTCTACTATTTTGGGGAAACCTCTGCTTTTGACTCAAAATATACATCTTGGATATCCTTTATTCCAATGAAGTGGAACTACTGGGACTATTTCAACAAATTAGGTGGAGAAATTAAAAATAATCTATATATAAGCATGTTCACTGCGTAGAAAACTTATAGCTAATATATGGGCCCATGAGACTACTTGCATATCAGTTTATTTATCAGTATACCCCAAAAAGATATGCACAAAACTCCATTAACAGATAATGTTGGGGAGTAGAATTAGAGGGGAAAAAAGCATTTAAGAATTTGTTCACAAATTTCTGTGTCCTTGGAAATCCAGAAAAAGATAATTTTTTATGAATCAATTTTAAATTTACCCTGATAAGTGATAAGTGAAAATTATAAATATATGCACTTAAGACTTAATGGGAACACTGAAATGAAGCCTTACAATGACACCATCCTGAGCTTCTGTGTAATAACATCTCCATTATTCAAGCTTCCAAGATTTAGTCCAGTGTCAACAGTGAAAGCAGTCAGCATGTCTGCTTACAGTTCTCTCTAGTGACACCCTTTAGGTAACTTTGAAACACAAGCTTTCCCCGTCCAATTTTTTGATCTGTGAGGAGCATCCAGTCCAACACACATAAGAGGAGTATCTGTACATTATGAAGACTGTCTTTTGGATTTGGAGATGGTGGTAGAAGCAATAGCATCGGTTTCCTATTTAGTCATCACACTCGTTTCGCCAAGGGGTATTCCTGGGACCAAAGATGGGAGTGAAGAACACTTGGAGGAGTAATACTGGCAGCAGAACTCTGGTGGCACTATTTCTTGCTGTTACAAGCAAAGACGGCAAAAGTGTGTTTTCCTGGAACTGTCATCTCCTGTGGTTCCCAGTTTAGACTTATGAACTAAGAAAGTCCATAGGACAAGGAATGTTCCTGATGTCAGCTGTTCTCAGGCCATCTGTAAATCTCTTCCTTTCGTGTTCATCTCAAATCCCATCTTCTCCCACATTCTTTCCTTGGGTCTCCTCTTGGATATTTTTACGCCTTTTATAACATTAGGGCAGTAAAGATCTTGGTCACTATATGTGGTTCTTTGCCTAACACATTCAGATGTTAAATTTCAAAATTTTTGTTTTGTAACAGGTTAATGCATAGGTAGTGCAACCATGTAGTCCTTGGCACGAATATATAATTCAAAGTTTAAAAATATATTCAGAGTTTAAAAATCCCAGTGGGAGAATCTACCAGTAAAGAGTATTATAGACAATTTTATCACTTACCTTGCTGTGTGAGGCTGGAAAGACTCTTAAATTGAAATTTGCTTGTACTTAGCTTCATGAGTCTATTATGTATTTTTTATTCTGTAGCTTGAGGTACTTAACACATAGTGGTGAGCCTGTCATTGTCATTATTCAGGAGCTATTTTCAAGTGATTTGTCTTGGAAGGTTAAAAAACAACAACAACAAGGTAGGCTTAAAAAATGATTTTGGTGGATAGTAGTAGCTTTGGTAAGAAGTTTCTATAGCAAAGACCTAAGAGGGTGGTGGTGGTAGCAACATGGGCATTAGAGGTGTACTTAGGCTTGATTCTTGACTCCCCAGCTTAACAGCTGGTTGAATTTGCAAATGCTAACATTTCTTCAAATGTAAAGATTTGATGAATAATTTCTACTTTAGAAGATGATTGTGAAAATTCAGGGTGCAGAACCCAGTGTTTGGCATGTTACAGGCCCTTAATAATTGTTAGTTCCTTTCTAGTTTAGATTCACATTAGTAGAGATAAGTTTGGGGGATTGTTTCAAAATATGTATTAAAATAATCTTTATTTAGGTATAATTTACATATAATAAAATACATCCATTTTAAATGCACAATAAAGTGTACAAGCATCAGTGAGGTTTGACAAAGGTATATACCATGTAACCACTACAATTAAGATATAGTACATTTCAATCCCGTGATAGAGTACTCCGCATCTTAGTCAATATAGCCTCAGGCAATAATGTGTGTGTCTGTTTCTGGACTCTTTTCTGTTCTGTTGTTCTGTGTTTATCCTTGTGCCAATACCACACTGTCTTAATTATTGTAGCTTTGTAATACATCTTGATGTTAGACATTTTAAGGCCTCCCATTTTGTTTTTCTTTATCAAAATTATTTGAACTTTTAAGATCTTTGCATCTTATATGCATTTTCATATAAATTTTAGAATCAGATTGTCAGTTTCTACAAAAACCCTGCTGTATGTGCATTGGGATTGTTCTGAATTTAGAGATCAGTCTGGGTAGAAATGACTTCTTAACAATGTTGAGTCTTCAGTATATGAACTTGGTATATTCCTCCATTTTATAGCTTTAATTTCTCTCAACAATATGGTTTAGTTTTCATTGCACAGGGCGTGAATATAGAAATACAATTTTTTTATTGACCTTTTATCTTGTGATCTTGGTAAATTCACTTTTTTAATTCCAGCATCTTTTTTGTTGATTCCTTCAGAATTTTTACATACACAATCCTGTCATCTGTGAATAAAAACACCTTTATTTCTTATTTTCTAATCTCCATGCCTCGTATTTTTTTCTTGTTTTACACAGGCTAGTACTTCTAGTACAATGTTAAATAGAAGTGATGTGGGTGGACATCCTTTTCGTAGTCCTAATTTTATGGGGAAATCATTTGGTCTTTTAAATACTATGTTAGCTATAGTGTTATATTCTTAATACGTTTTCATAAATTTATCAAGGTGAAGCAGTTCCTTTCTTAATTAACTGAGAGGTTTGTTTGTTTGTTTTTTTTTTAATCATAAATGGGTGTTGAATTTTGTCAAGTGTGTTTTCTGCATCTTTGGAGATGCTCATGATTTACTTCCTTTATAATGTTATAGAATTGCTTTTTGATTGTTAAAACGATAAACCTTTCATTAAATTTACCTTTTTAATCTTAGCAGTTGAGTTTATTGGCACAGAATTTTTTCATACTGTTCCTTATTACTTTTTCCTTCTCATGTCTGAAGGATCTGTAGTGATGGCCCTTTTTATTCCATATGCTAGAAATGTGTTTTCTCTTTTTTCCTTAGCTGATCTAGCTAGAGATTTATCAATTTTATTGCTCATTTCGGAGAACCTGCTTTTAGTTAATTGTTTTCTATATTTTGTCTTTTTTCTATTTCATTGATTTATACTTTCATCTGTATTATTTCCTTTTACTTATTTGATATTACATCTTTATTTTCTCATAGAAGCATATGAAGCTATAAATTTTCCTCTAAGCCCTGCTTTAGCTGCATCTCACACATTTGATATGTGTTTTCATTTTTTTTTTTAATTTGTAACTTTTTTTTTTAAGATTTTATTTATTTATTTGACAGAGAGAGACACAGGGAGAGAGGGAACACCAGCAGGGGGAGTGGGAGAGGGAGAAGCAGGCTTCCCGAGGAGCAGGGAGCCAGATGCGGGGCTCGATCCCAAGACCCTGGGATCATGACCTGAGCCGAAGGCAGAGGCGTAACGACTGAGCCACCCAGGCGCCCCTGTGTTTTAATTTTTTTTCAGTTTAAAATATATTCGAATATGCTTTGTGATTTCTCTTTGACTCATGAGTTATTTAGAAGTCTGTTCTAAATATTTAGGAGTTTTCTTGATATTTTCCTGTTACTAATGCTAATTTAGTTATGTTCTGGTCAGAGAACATATTCTGGTTAGAGAACATAATCTGTTTGATTTCAGTTCTTTAAAATTTTCTTAGACTTGTTCTATGGCCCAGCATATGGTATTTCTTGATTAATGTTTTATGTGTACTTGGAAGACTATTATTCTGCTGTAGTTGGGTGGAGTATTCTATAATGTCAATTACTCAAGTTGGTTAATAGTGATCTTTAATCTTTACCTCTATTGGTTCTTTATTATTTTGTCAATGAGAGAGGAGTGCTGAAATCTCCAACTGTATTATAGATTTGTCTAGTTTTCCTTTCACTTCTGTCAGTTTTTGCTTTATGTATTTTGCAATGTTTTTATTAGGTGTATGCACATTTATGGTTATTTTGCTTGATAAATTGACTGTTATCATGAAATGCCCCTCTTTATCCCTGGCAATATTCCTTGTTCTCAAGTCTACTTTTTTCTGATGTTATTTATAGCTACTCCCACTTCTTTAAAATTAGTGTTTGTGTGGTTTATCTTTTTCCATGTTTTCATTTCTAAACTACCTGTGTCTTTATATTTCATTTGAACTTTT